TACCCATGAAAACGCTCAAATACATCATCTCCTGACAGCAGCGTTCCGACTACGAATTGCCATATTTTATTTCTGCTACGCTTCCCTATACTTGATTAATGGTATCGATTAAACGCATCATTCGAGACTTGAGACCGAATAAATCACAATTTAAACGGAACTCCTTTTAACCGCTTATTTGGGAAACTGTGCCCGCGACTTCGCACGCGTTGAAATAGTTTTGAATAATGTTTCCCGTTTTTTCCGCATTTTTCTTTACTACTCCGCCCTTATTGGCTGTAGGATGATGTTATATACCTTAAAACCTTTCCAGATAAATGAGCTATCCAACACAAAAACAATTTTTCAAATCGGACTAGTAGTTCCTGAGATAAGCGCATTTAAGCAAACAAACAACTTTTCAACTTTACATAATAGTATAGATTCCGGGTGAAAAAAAATATAGACAAAAGCCAGTGAGGCATCGCTCAAACCGTGTGTTTACTGACAATAGAAATTATTCCCCTCTAAGTATTGTGAGGATGCAAAAATACACGTCGGGTTCTGACGTTGAGTGATGCGTTTCCTCTCGTTCCGCATTGTCTGTTCTGAAAGAGATCGCAATATGAAATACTTCGGTCTGAATCGCGGATGCCTCATTGAATGAAACGCCTCGGGGCTCTATTCTCAAACTAAAATATTCATAGCGATTTGAACGAGTGCAGTAAGATATTAATACTGGCTGATAAATATTTGATCAGACAGCTTAGCTCTTCATGATATTGGGGCCATTTGCACTAATAATGGACATATTTCAATTTTGATTTATTAATTTACTCACTAAACGTACAATATGGTCGTCTTATCATACAGGCAATAGTGGTACGATTCGCAAAATATGTGCTAATAAGTAACTTATACTAAGAAACTATAATATTTGTATAGCTTGATGAATACAATCGTATTTGTTTATTAGCCTTTGTCCGTTATAATTAAATGCATTATTTAATGTACAGACGACAGCACACCAACCCACGAAGTATCTTATTCAGTTGCAATACATGCTATTTTATAACAAAAAAAAATCTGATTTGCTGTCGGCTGTACCGCCAAACACTCAACAAAGTTCCAACTGGTCGTTGTTGACATTGCTAAATCTACATCATCCAATTACCGAAACATTTGGGCCTGAATAAATAATAAAGAATGTTCATTAGTTATAGCTTGATTAATTAAACGCACTGAATCGGTATTCATAATGAATTCAATAAAACATTTCCAACGAACTTATTAACACAAATTGTGGTGACCTATATTAGAGGGGTATTGATTTTAATAATGACACTCATAAACGTATTATGAAAAATGCAAGCATTGCATAAAAGGAGCATAGAATTACCTTTAAACGCCCAGAAAATGAGTACATAATCGCAATAAACGTGAGAACTTTTTCACGTTCTGAAAGTTGACAAAGACAGTAAACTTATGTATGTCATTCGATGCATATTATTATGATTTTTGTCTCACTTTAGATGAAACGATTATACGAAAACTATTTATCTAGGTAGTATCTTAGACAAAGAAGTATTTACTTCTCTATACTTGAAGGTTGAAGGACAAAGATTTGAGGCTTTTGTCCAAAGATGGACTAACGTGTAGTAGGTAGGTTATGATGACGTCATAAAATACTTCATCTGTCAAGCGTATCATTACTTGGGACGGCTACGACTGCCAAATTGTATGGAAATAATGTTATGTTTATGTTCCGTCTCTCTCTCACCAAATTAAGGTACCTACCTATTATTTTCATTTCATACTAGAGTTAACCATTATAAATATTTACGTATTTAATTAAGAAAGAAGAATTCCCATCATTTTGCTTTAATTTAATTTGGAAATGCATGCATTTCGATATAATTAATAAACTTACATTAGGTACATTTTGGGTATTACATCAATAATTAAGTATTTCAATTGGAATTAATATTGTGAGTTCATCAACTGAAAACGAGATGAAAATTTCTGTAGCAAGTGAAAAGAGCGATATTCTAAGCATTATCAACCTTATTTGTCACGAAATAAGGCAAAGTCATATTTTTGTTGCACAACAGATGGCGTCTAGCGCCTGACGTCTTTAAGCTTCCTTTTCAATAATTTTGTTATGAAAATTAGACGGAGAAATATTTGACATTGTGAATAAAATTAGAGACTGTTGTTACACTGTTTTAGCTTACAGAATGAAGCTCTTTAATTTGGTTGTCAGAATTTTGATATAAATGACATAATATAATAGGTATTACTTACTATTCTTATACTGGTGTGTACTCTAATGACTTGTACTCTGACATCAAAACTTTGGAGTCAGATTCAAGAGCCGGTATAGGTTCGCACTAACTTCTTCCGATGAAAATGAAAATGAAAGGCCAAGATCTACAGCTTGACCGACAAAAAATGGACCAGTAATAGACCAATTTACTTGTTTTATCAATTAAGTGGAAACCTTCATAAAATCTCATCATAAAATATTATTATGGGAAATCAAGAACCCACTCAAAGGTTACTATGATCTTTTCTCTCTAATACATGGAATTAATATTACATTAGGGATAACTTAAATTATCCCTTTTGCAAATCACATCACAGCGACGTATATTGGTACTAACGGTAATAAAACGGTACAAGTCCATAGAGATACCAATTACCGACATCAAATGTGACCCATATAAATTTGATTAAATGAAAGCGTTTGTACGTATCCTACGTTAATTAAAATCAAATGAAAGCCATTAGACAGGGTAACGATTACCCTGCCAAACATACGAACCACATGGTACCTCGAAAGCATATCAACCTATACATTTTGTTCTAAAATAGCCTGTATCACAACGAGATAAGACGCCACTGTGTTAAGCTTCATGTGCTGTCGTACGTACAATAGAAAAGTTTATTACAGCACCCCGGGGCAAAGTCAGGTTTCTCGTTAGGAAATAAATATTTGTTGAGAGAGTGAGAGAAGAGAACCGATAGGGATGCGATAAGACGATTCGATTGCTCACTCGATTTGTTATACCTTCGGTTTTGGATACGATCAATTGGAAATTAAACGTAAGTACATTTGAAGCAGCACGAAATTTATCTGGAAATTGTTCATGGGTAATTTCTTAAATTGCTGTAGAAGTTATCTTCTTCAGGGTTCACGGACGAAATTAATCAAATCATTTCAAGTAACTTACGTTTATGAAGCTATTTAAAGAATTGGTATCAATAGGCAATTTTCAATTAGAATTCAACTTGAACAATGCACAAAATAAAGTCGAAGCTCATCAGAATACATTTTTGCTGCAACAGTGTCTGTTACAATAATTTAAGGTTCACATCGAATAGTTAGAAGTGCCCTCGACCATAACTATATAGTATAACTATCGATAAACAAGTTCAGCATTTCCCAACACTATTCCCAATTCGATAAGCCCCAGACCCGTTACGTCACTAAGCGAGGACGAGTAAATAATGAAGCCTACATCTGGTACAAGACGAATGTTTGCGGACTACCAGTAAAAGTAATTAAGAGTTAAACATGGGTTACAAAGTAAGACCCTTTTGTCAAAAAAACTCGCAGAGAGCCGCAAGTTAGCGAACGATAAATCAAGATGGGTGCAGTTATTTTGTTATTCTTAGGAAAATAAAATAAAGAAAGGACATTGTCAGAAACGGCCTCAGATTCCTGGGCACAGCAGTAAAGTATCAAAATTGATCTCTTACTTTTTGAATACATAAATATTAATTAGATTGTAATGGACACTTGAGGATTAGAAAATGAAATAATAAAAGTCTTTTATATGTATTCCATAATACTATGACGACATCCGGACATTTTAGGGCGTGGCCTGCTCCATATCCTATGAAGTTCCATAATTTGTGTCGATAAAATCTATGTAAAATGGGCACAAGGCAATGCCGTACTTCATTGTTAGGAATCCACGTAATAGTGATGTTGAACTTGAGGATTAGAAAATGAAATAATAAAAGTCTTTTATATGTATTCCATAATACTATGACGACATCCGGACATTTTAGGGCGTGGCCTGCTCCATATCCTATGAAGTTCCATAATTTGTGTCGATAAAATCTATGTAAAATCGGCACAAGGCAATGCCGTACTTCATTGTTAGGAATCCACGTAATAGTGATGTTGATTGCGGTCATCATAGACAATAAGATACCGATCTTGTAAATAAAATAAATCGTCCAAATTGCTACAGTATGACTAGATTTTAATTAAAAGTTAAAAATATATTGCACGATACTACAAGAAGCTATCTAATGTGTCCAACTGGTCTAAAAGGTCATGAATAAAATAAAAAGAATTGTGATCATAATACTGATATTGACAATGAAAATGAATGAAATGAATGAAATGAAACATAAATATGGGATCATCTTTAATATATCTGTAACAGTGGTAACAGTTTCAAAATCCGATGAAAAATCCAATGCCGCTTAAAGTGAGAGAAATGTCTAAAGTTCTAATAGAATTGAAAGTTTTATTCACTCAAAATGCTTATAACAATAATTGGTAATACATTTCAAATATTAAGTACCTACCTTTATAATGTATCGATAGAACCAAAATGATGTCCTCTCAGTTTGGAAAGGGAAAACCCAGGATTGGGGGAGCGCTCCAGGCAATTTTCAGAACATTTCATAGGTGGTAGTAAATAATATTTATTTTATTATTAAAATTGAATATTTTGATATTGATAAAATTGAATATACCTTTCGATTCAAATACCGAATATTTTTCAATCGATAAAAATTATCGAGAATTGTTAATAATATTCAATTAAAAGTTGTTCAATCCCTAGTCATGCATAGACTAAGACGGTAACCATGGAGATAGTTAGTTTGGTAAGTCACGTGTTAAATGTCAAGAGTGGAAAGTAAACATAGGATTCATGTTATTTATTTACGTGCAAAATGTAAGTAAGTAAATGATAAAAGTGGAACGCCGAGCNTTGGACGTAGTTACACGAAAAGGATCCAATCCACAACATTGTCAAAAATGACTTAAGTATACCAAAGTAATGCTAAATATCGATATTATCGGTCAGTAAAAAAGACCCACGTCAAAACAGCTGTTTTCCTTTGAATTTAAACATCGGAACCAACCCACATCTATAGCCGCTTATATATATTTTTTCACTTAAAACAATCCAACTGTCGTGGTTCTTACCCTGTGTTAGAAACTAAATCAGTAAATCGATCCAAATAGATTGGATCCTTTTTGCGAAATTTGAATACCAACTTCAACCACACGTCAATAAAAACGCAAAAACGATCCACTCTGCTTGGATTTATTTGCTGAATTGCTTATTTTATAATCAAATTAATAAAACGATCCAGAAAGCTTGGATTTTTTTCAAGAAATGCATTTTTACGTTTTCTTCTAATAAATCTGTTAACGAAAACGATCCATAATAGTTCTTGGTGCTTACTTACTGATTATATTTAAAAAAAAACAGTATAAAAATATTGTTTCACAAAAACAACCCAAGCCCAATCTAATCATACTTATTTATGTATAAATTATAAATTAGGTATGATTAGATTATACACCTATATAAAATTTTCGTAGCCTGGCCGGTTAAAAAAAATACAAATCAGTGCTGCCAACTGATTAATCTGTCAGTACTTAGTTCAGTCAGTTAATTCTTCAAATTACAAGACTAGATGTGCGCGCTTATTCGTGAATTTGATTAGTGGCTCCAAAAATGAAGAGGATAGATAGAATTATGTGTAATGTGATAAAAGATTGTTCAAACAGTGAACAAGATCTCGAACCAGGTAAGTTGCTTGTTGATTTAACTATATTTTTAAATAACCTAAAAATTTTGGTATTTTTATTACATGAAAAGATTATTTCGCGTTTGGGTTCTTTTGTTTTTGATTTGATTTGCTTGTTTCTGCACAGCGCGTGCGCATGCATTTTAGTTATGATGTAATGGAATGAGTTTTCTTTTAATAAGATTTATAATAAAACCATTTCTTTTGTGGCAAAGGCAAACTTAAACTGTATAATCATTGATCAGCTGACCGGCTTGGGGCTTAAAGGTGTATTTATATCTTTTAGATGACTTGATTTCTCCGGAAGCTCCCATATATTCTCCGTTGACACCACTGAGAACGACAAAAAATGAGACTGATATTTTGGATAAGGGTATGTATGAAGTCAATTCCTTTTCTACACCATTACTATAACAGTGTTTTTATTAATGCGGTATTTTTTGTACTAAAGCTAATTTCTTGAAAGGTCGTAGACATGTTTTATCAAAATTGGTTAAGCCGTTTACTAGATTTCGGGAATTTCAGATGAATAATCGAAAAATGACAAATATACCCCTGTGGGGTAACAAACGAAAGGGCATCACGTTTATATTAGAAATATCTTAAGATCAGGGTATTTTAATTTGCCTAGAGAATAACTTGTAAAATAAATAAATAAATACTTACAGATAACGAGCCTCAGATGTCACCTGTACCTTATATGTCTCCAAGTACATTAGATTTGTACCAAACTTTGAGCGGCATTCATACTCCGATTCAAGAATATCCTAAAGACTTAAACGAGGTAGATTTAGAAGAAGAAAATGTTTTAAACAGACATTTTTCCACTCCAAAGAATAACACAGATAATATTAGTGATTTCAGTGCTGATACCGACACAGATTATGTCCCAGATAGTAACTCAGACTCATCTGATGATGATACTACAGTGACATCTAGAAAAATCAATATTGTGGCTATAGTTCACAGTAATGATACTCCACGTAAAGGTCATTTGATTACACGTTTACAAGATACAAATGTGTCACATGTACATGAAGGAACAACTGTAAGAGGGAACAGTGAAACTATAGAATCATTAGAAACTATATATTCCATACAATCTGATAATGGTAACAATGTAGAAAATTTCCAGAATTATTCCAACCCAGGACAGAGTCCAACATCAGACAGTTTGATTCCATTGCATACGGATTTTACACACATAACTGATAGTTTACAAAATGAAGCTGTTGAGCCTAATACTGAAGAAAATTTCGTTGAAGATTCTAATACGGATCAGATTTTGTCATCAGTTGGACGTCCAAAAAAGGGTCGAAAACGAAAACATCCAGAGTTTACGATAGCACAAGCAAAGACAAGGAAGTATAAAAACAAAAGTTATCTTACCAAGAAAAAGTATGTTGACCCGAAGGTGTTTCACGACTACTCTTGCTCATGTCAAAAGAAATGTTACCAATTGGTTTCCTTAGAGAAAAGACAGGAAGAGTTTGAAAAATTCGTTACTTTAGGATCTTATGAAGCTCAAGCATTAT